GAACCCGGGCCGCACGCATGACAGGCGAGCGCGCTACCGCTTGAGCCACATCCCCAGCCCAGAAAAGGAAATTTGTGCCTTGAAGAGACACTTACACATCTATGTTCACTGCATGATTTACAACAGAGAAGAAACAGACACAATTCAAATGTCCATCACCCGAGGAATGGATAAAAAACACAGTACATGCAAACACCGCACTAGGACTCAACCTTTTAAAAGAAGGAAGTCTTGACATTTGTGACAACATAAATGGATCTTGAGGACCTCGTGCTAAGAGAAATAAGCTAGACACAGAAACACTGTACGATTTCACTTCTATGTGGAATCTAAACTAGTTAAACTCATACAATCAGAGATGGTGGTTGCCAGGGGCTGCAGGAAGGGAAGATGTTGGTCAAAGGGTACAAAGTTTCAGTTATGGAGGATTAATAAATTTTATAGGTCTAAATATAGAGCATAGTGATCTTAGCTGAGCTTCACAATGCCACCCAAGGACAAAAAGAAGAAGAAAGATGCTGGAAAGTCAGCCAAGAAAGACGAGGACCCAGTGAACCGATTGGGGGCAAAACCAGAGAAGTGGTTCAAAGGCAAAGTTTGCAACAAGTTCAACAATATAATTTTGTTTGACAAAGCTACTTATGACAAACTCTGTAAGGACGTTCCCAGGTGTAAGTTTATAACCCCAGCTATGGTCTCTGAGAGGGTGAAGATTCAAAGTTCCCTGGCCAGGGCAAACTTCTGGAAGCTCCTCATAAAGGACTTCTCAAGGGCTGGGATGTAGCTCAGTGGCAAAGCGTCTGCCTTGCATTCGCAAAGCCCTGGGTTCGACCCCTAGTTCCAAAAAAGACAAAAAAAAAAGAACCCCACCAAAAAAATAAATAAGATTAAAAAAATAATAATAATAAAGGACTTCTCAAACTGGTTTCAAAGCATGGAACTCAAGTAATTAACATCAGAAATTGGTGAAGATGCAGGAATAGGTCCAACCAATATACATTTGGGAAAACAAAACCTTATTAAATATATATATATATATATATATAATCATGGTGATCATAGGTTAACATAT